ATGTGGTTCTGTCAGGAAAAGTAAGATGTCATCAGCAAAAGCTGCTACCTTATGACCTTTGTCATTGATCAAAATCCCTTTTATACTGTCAGTCTGTTTAATGCAATTCAAAAAGGGTTCCAATGTGAGAATGAATAGGAGGGGGGATAATGGACAACCCTGTCTGATCCCATTGCCGATCGAGAAGGCGTCTGAAAGGAGGCCGTTGACTCTCACTCTGGCCATTGGCATTGCATATAAAGACATAATAAAGGTTTAGAGTCATGGAGGGAGCCCAAGACCCGTCAGAACAGCCTCCATGTAGTCCCATGCCAATCTATCAAAGGCCTTCTCCGCATCTATGGAGAGGAAGAAGCCAGATTTCTTTTTTTGTGTCAACCAATGATGAATATTTATGGCCCTGATCGTATTGTCTCTGGCCTCTCTACCACAATGATCAGCTTTTATTTATTCATGTAAAACTTTTATCCATAAAGGAAAAAAAACAGTTTGATGAAACTGAATATGAAGTGTGAGCTGGAGTTTGGCTTCAATTAGTTACTGTTTTTATATCTGCTAGTACATCTAACACTCCCCTCCCCCCAGACTGACCATGCTGCTGTCTCCACAGTGGGGGCACTGTGTTATGTGAGGTGTGTTACTGGCCAGATCACCAGGTGAAAACAGGGAAAAAAGCCAAAGAAAAGGAATGCAGCTGACACATCCCATGATTGGTAAGCTGCAATATGGGACATTTGTGGTTTAATATCCCTTTAGTTCAGCGGTTCTCAACCTGGGGGTCGTGACCCCTTTGGGGGTCGAACGACCATTTCCAGGGGTCGCCTAAGACCATCGGAAAACACATATTTCCGATGGTCTTAGGAACCGAGACACCGCTCCTCTGACTCAGTCGATGTGTGGGCGGGATGACACGCTGCCCTGTCACCTGGCCACACCTCCGGGATCCCTCAACAACTCCGCCTCCTCGCCGCTGATTGGCCACCGGAACTGTAGCTCAGGAGAGGCACACAGGCGGCCAATCACCGGCGAGGAGGTGGAGCTTGGAGGAGGAGCCGAGCGGCAGCGGCGCGCGCGTAGAGAAGATCGAGGGAACTGCCGGAGTAAGTGAAGAGGAGAGTCGGCCAGAGAAGGAAGACAGCTGACAGGTAAGTGAGAGAGCGAGCCCAGGCTGGAGCAGGGGTCAGCAAGGTAAGTATCATTGGTGTCAGTGGGGAGGAATAGTGCCCCCATCATTTGTGTCACTAATACCAACAATGGGGCACTATTTCTCCCACTGACACCAATGATGGGGCACTATTTCCTCCCCCCCCGCACTGACACCAATGATGGGGCACTATTCCTCCCCCCCACTGACACCAACGATGGGGCACTATTCCTCCCCCCCACTGACACCAACGATGGGGCACTATTCCTCCCCCCACTGACACCAAGAATGGGGCACTATTCCTCCCCCCCCTGACCCCAAAGATGGGGCACTATTTCCCCCTCCACCACACTGACATCAATGATGGGGCACTATTCCCCCCACTGACACCAATGATGGGGCACTATTCCCCCCACTGACACCAATGATGGGGCACTATTTCCCCCACTGACACCAATGATGGGGCACTATTCCCCCCACTGACACCAACGATGGGGCACTATTCCCCCCACTGACACCAACGATGGGGCACTATTCCCCCCCACCGACACCAACGATGGGGCACTATTCCCCCCCTGACCCCAAAGATGGGGCACTATTTCCCCCTCCACACACACTGACATCAATGATGGGGCACTATTCCTCCCACTGACACCAATGATGGGGCACTATTCCTCCCACTGACACCAATGATGGGGCACTATTACCCCCCACTGACACCAATGATGGGGCACTATTCCCCCCACTGACACCAATGATGGGGCACTATTCCCCCTACTGACACCAATGATGGGGCACTATTCCCCCCACTGACACCAATGATGGGGCACTATTCCCCCCACTGACACCAATGATGGGGCACTATTCCCCCCACTGACACCAATGATGGGGCACTATTCCCCCCACTGACACCAATGATGGGGCACTATTCCCCCACTGACACCAATGATGGGGCTCTATTCCCCCCACTGACACCAATGATGGGGCACTATTCCCCCCACTGACACCAATGATGGGGCACTATTCCCCCCACTGACACCAATGATGGGGCACTATTCCCCCCACTGACACCAATGATGGGGCACTATTCCCCCCACTGACACCAATGATGGGGCACTATTCCCCCCACTGACACCAATGATGGGGCACTATTCCCCCCACTGACACCAATGATGGGGCACTATTCCTCCCACTGACACCAATGATGGGGCACTATTCCCCCCACTGACATCAGTGATGGGGCACTACTCCTTCCACTGACACCCAATGATGTGGCACTAGTCCTCCCACTGCAAAATTACAGTTATGAAGTAGCAACGAAAATAATTTTATGGTTGGGGGTCACCACAACATGAGGAACTGTATGAAGGGGTCGCGGCATTAGAAAGGTTGAGAACCACTGCTTTAGTTGGTTGGTGAAATCTCATCCTATGTCCAGTGATAGCAGTGACATCTACTGGCCACAGTGAGACATCACAGGACAACCTAAACTTAGGGAGAAACCAAGTGAAGAACTATACAATCAGCCTGAGCCAAGTACAGCCCAGCCACAAACTAAACCCACATAGTACCTCTATTCAGGACAAGGGGGCGATACTAATAAATAGTGTAAGGATCACATCAAATTGGTGTTTAGTAATCAGAGATCACTTACAGTGGTTGTAACCCTCAGACATGGAATATGAACAAACATATCCCTCTACAGTGTGTACTAGTCTTTGTCCGGAGAACTAAGTGTAATTTTCTGTTTGCTGTCTCCTTCCTCTGCGATCAGCATGAATCACTTCTGACAAGTCTTCCTGACACCAAGAGAAAAAAGATGACAGGGAAGGGAGCTCCAGCACACAGCCTGTAATTGACAGCCTTAGCTCTGTTCCTGTGTGAAGGGGGTGTGTCCCTTCCCACCAATCATCTCTCAGAGTTCACTTCACTGAGCTCTGAAAAGAATGGCTTCAGCTCTCTGCCCTCTTTTTTCTGACTTGTTAGACAAGCTGTATAAATTCTATACTTTGAACAAATATAGAGAAGAGTGCACCAGATAAACAGGTACAACGTATGTAGGAGGATTTGTTTCATCTCTGTGTATCACCTGAGGCCAGTCACTGCACTGGGTATATGGAGGGTTTACAACCACTTTAACTGTTTATTGTAGACAAGTTGCAGAGATCCCACACCGCTGCCTCCCATCTCCTGAGACTGCACTCAGTGACTTGGGTCTGAGACACTACAGACATATCCCTCCACCCGGCACAGCCAGCAGACCACAGAGCAAGGAACCCTGGGAGAAATGTTCTGTCAGAGATCTTACTAGACCCGAACGTGGGGGAGAATACCCAACTCACATGTCCCATGGGCCTAGGTAGAGCTACACTTATGGTGAAAATGAACATTTTTCTGCCAGCTGAACCCCAGAACCTCCATAAATCCAGTCTAGAGACATAAATTGTGTCTGCAGCACAGAGAAGGAAGATTATCCGAGAGAAATCCAGGAATACAGGACGGGGAACACAGCTCAGGGAAAGTGACCAGGGGATTACAGGCTGATATCACCCAGTCCCCGCCCTACTCTGGACCAATCAGTGAGCAGTATGGGTGGAGGAATGGATTTAGTGTTCATGACCCACCTGTGCTGATCCCTGTAGGAGTGTCCTCCTCTATAAATGTCCCCGTTATTCCATCCTCCTCCATAGACTGCTGATCATCCCTCACATACGCCTCTTCTTCTTCTGCTTTAGGCGGGGCAAACCAGGAAAACCTCAAATTCTATATCGATTGGATCTCCACTCTAAATCAAGGAAATGAGAGAGAATATCATCTGTAAAATATAAGGTCACATAAACATCCACACATTGTCTCTACAAGTCCATGTTCTAGATGCTCCATCCCACCAACCATGTAATAGTGAGGGATGGTGTGACCTTCCTGTGTGGAATCCCGGGAATACAGAGGACGGGGACATCTCTCTGGTGGGTTCCTGGTATTAGGTGGCTCCATCATATCCTTGTGTCCTTCTGAAAACTCCTCCATCACTCCATACTCCTCATCCTCCTCTTTATACTCTTCTTTAACAACAATAAATATAATCATCGAGGATTCCACTCTGAAAGATATAATAAAACATTCATTGTAACAAACATGCTGTGTATAAATCACAACTACCAATAATTGTCATCATCTACCTGATGATGGTGAGAGGGATGGTGTGACCTTCCTGTGTGGAATCCCGGGAATACAGAGGACGGGGACATCTCTCTGGTGGGTTCCCCATGACTGGATCCATCTGTAGGAAACACACACACTGACTGAATCCATTGTTTCTATGTGTTTATCAGATGATGGGGGATCTAGGTGGATCCTCCGTACTGCTCTCTCCTTTACAATAAAGTCTCCTCTTACCCGGTGATGTGAGGGGCGGCTGATTGTCCATCATGACGTCCTTGTAGAGATCCTTGTGTCCTTCTAAATACTCCCACTCCTCCATGGAGAAATAGACAGTGACACCCTGACACCTTATAGGAACCTGACACACACAATGATACAGTCACCATCCAGACACATCCCTTGTCTGTTACTGGAGAATGTCCCAGAATTCCCGGCACCGCTCACCTCTCCTGTCAGCAGCTCAGTGATCTCTCTGGTGACTTCTAGAATCTTCTTCTTCTTTCTCTCTTCTATCAGGGAGGGAGGTGGAGGCAATGTGATGTCATATGATCTCCAGACTTCACAGGAGGAAAAACTCTACATCTGAACACAAATAGTCACATCAAAATGATATTCCCAGAATCCTCCTCACCTCTCCATTCAGGTCTCCATTTTATTAAAGCCCCACTTCAGGCTGAGGTATAATTTCCCCCCACAGGGACCCCCACACTACGCAGGGTATAGGCTTGTTGCATGCATTCTGATGTCATTACATACAACGCAGGACCACACAGTCCCACATTACATGTGAGGATACCAAGGGACCCCCACATCCTGATGTAGTGATTTTTGGGACTATTTATTAAGGAAAATGAAGGAAAATGATATTACCCAAAAGAAAATCCTAAACTGACTGTGATGGGCTAACTCATGGGGGTGGCAAACTTTTTGACTTGAGGGCCGCAATGGGTTCATATATTGGACCCGGGGGCCAGACCAAGAGTAGATGAATGATGTGTATGTGTCATCCACAGTAAGTATAGTAATATTCCCCCCATAGTAAGCAATAGTAATTAATCCCCATATAGTAATTCATCCCCCATATAGTAGTAATTCATCCCCCATATAGTAATTCATCCCCCATATAGTAATTCATGCTTCCCCCATAGTAATTAATCCCCCATATAGTAATTTCATCCCCCATATAGTAATTCATCCCCCATATAGTAATTCATCCCCCCATATAGTAATTCATCCCCCATAGTAATTCATCCCCCATATAGTAATTCATCCCCCATAGTAATTCATCCCCCATATAGTAATTCATACCCCCATATAGTAATTCATCCCCCCTAATTAGTAATTCATCCCCCATATATAGTAATTCATCCCCCATTATAGTAATTCATCCCCCATAGTAATTCATCCCCCCCATATAGTAATTCATCCCCCATAGTAATTCATATCCCCCATAGTAATTCATCCCCATAATAGTAATTCATCCACCATAGTAATTCATCCCCCATAGTAATTCATCCCCCATAGTAATTCATCTCCCCATATATAATTCATCCCCCTATAGTAATTCATGCCCCCCATATAGTAATTCATCCCCCCTATAGTAATTCATCCCCCAACAAGTAATTCATCCCCTATAGTAATTCATCCCCCATATAGTAATTCATCCCCCATATAGTAATTCCATCCCCATATAGTAATTCATCCCCCATATAGTAATTCATCCCCCATATAGTAATTGTCATCCCCATAGTAAAATTCATCCCATAGTAATTCATCCCCATATAGTAATTCATCCACCATAGTAATTCATCCCCCATAGTAATTCATCCCCCTTAGTAATTCATCCCCCATATGTAATTTCTATCCCCCCTATAGTAATTCATCCCCCCTATAGTAATTCAATCCCCCATAATAGTAATTCATCCCCCATAGTAAATTCATCCCCCATATAGTAATTCATCCCCCATATGAGTCAGTCAATTCATCCCCCATAGGTAATTCATCCCCATATAGTAATTCATTCCCCCATTTAGTAATTCATCCCCCATAGTAATTCATTCCCCCATATAGTTAATTTCATCCCCCATAGTATATTTCATCCCCCATAGTAATTCATCCCCCATATAGTAATTTAATCCACCATAGTAATTCATCCCCCATATAGTAATTCATCCCCATAGTAATTCATCCCCCATATTGTAATTCATCCCCCTAATAGTAATTCATCCACCCATATAGTAATTCATCCCCCCTATAGTAATTCTCCCCCATATAGTAATTCATCCCCCTATAGTAATTCATCCCCCATATAGTAATTCATCCCCCATAGTAATTCATCCCCCATATAGGTAATTCATCCCCCATATAGTAATTCATCCCCCATAGTAATTCATCCCCCATAGTAATTCATCGCCCCCATATGATTAATTCATCCACCATAGTAATCATCCCCCATAGTAATTCATCCCCCATAGTAATTCATCCCCATTTAGTAATTCATCCCCCCTATAGTAATTCATCCCACGCCCTATATAGTAATTCAGATCCCCCATATAAGTAATTCATCCCCCCTATAGTAAGTCCCCCTGTGTCAATTACTTACCTTTGCTCCGCGCGTTTCCTCTCGCCGTGTTTTCCCTCGCCTTTTCCGGTCTTCAGGGCGAACTGTGAGAGGAGCATAGCTTCCCCTCACGTTCCTCACGCTGCCCCGCCATACACACTATCCTGACCAGCCTCACATCACGCTCCGGCGCCGGCCAGGTTAAAAGGTCCGTCGGGCGTAGTTTGCCCATTGCTGTGGCTAACTCATTGATAAACTTCAGGTGACCCATCCAGGAAGCCACCATAAACAATGAGTGGAAGAGGTTCTGTTTAAAATACAAATGGAGACAAATTACACTATTTGAGACAGCATATTCTCAAACACATAATGTACCATATAATTGACAATGTTGACTACCTCGGTAATTATTTACTATGGTTTTCCCAAGACCTGCTAGATGTTTGTTAGCCAAACAAGCACAACTGTCTATGTAAAGGCCAGGAGTCAACCTCATATAAAAGTGAATCACAGGTCATTAGGAAACTCAATATAAGTGAGTCAGAGGTCTCAAAAAAGACCCAACTGGTGATGTGAAACCTCAGGGATCAAAACAATATGCTAGAAATTTAGACCCTTTCCCTTTAATGCCAAAACTCTTTTAACTTTACATTTTCATGGGGAAAGATTTAAATTTAAAGGTAATAAAATTACCAAAAATTTTGGTGTATATCTAAACTAAAATTATTTTTCACATTTTTTATACCCCCACACCAAGATCCATTTAATAGATTTGGGGATACTGCATATTAAACCAATATTTTTATGAAGTCATAGGGTATGAGATGGTTTTGGGGAGTGGGGAAAATGCCTTTTATCAAAATAAAGATACAACAACCGTGCTACATTTAAGATGGAGGGAGAGCGGGGAAAAATCTCTGTATGAACGGGAAATTTGGCACCAAGATAAAAAAGAACAAATGATGGGGCATCATTATACGGATCCACCATTTTTAGGACAAAAATCACAATCAAAATACAAACTCATAAAAAAAGGAAATGAACACCAAAACTTTAATTTACGGGGTTATTTCATTTTTGGTCCTTTTTCCAGAGATATTGGGGAAAGTCATTTAAACATTCCCTTTTTTAGGGCCCCCTATAAAATTTTTTTCTCAGAAAGATATAAATTTTTTTTATAAAGGGGGATTCAACATTAAGATCACCAGTTCATTCTGATCCCCCGATTGTCCCCCGGGGGGACAGG